GGGAGTTCGTTCCAGAGGGTCGGAGCAGCCACAGAGAAGGCTCTCCTCCGAGTAGTCGCCAGTCGACATTGGCCAGCGGATGGAAATCTTAGCGCCTGCGCGATGCTCCAACACAGGAGAATTGCGCAGGCGCTGTATGTGCCATGCGCCTGCATGGAAGTGCAGAAGCCTTTAAAGACCGGTAAGGAGCGAGGGCGGGCGGATGGGCCCCTCAGCGTTCCCGGAAGTTACTTACTTCCGGGTTCACCGACCAACCGGTCCACACGGACCGGTTGAAACCCACCCCTGAGCATGAGCCCAACCGCAAAGCAACAAAGGAGAAGGAAAGTGGAGTGAACACAGTCAATCCTACACTTGCATAACATGACACTTGTTGCCTTGTTAATATATGCAGCTTCCACTCTCTGCTCCGCTTATGAAGACTATAATTTTCTCCACTAAAAACACTGTCTAATGGCACCACCCCCATTCTAATTACAGGCGGCTCTCTTATGCATTATAATCTTTACACAATTAAGCTCACTTAAAAGAGTAACTGATTGAATGCCCCTCCAAAAATTAAAGTGTGCGGAGAGCAAGAAGGTGGTGATGCAAAATGACAAAGGACTCAGAAAACTGAAAATTAGGGCACTTCACCCCATACATTTATATATCAACGGGGTTGGGAAGGCAATCTCAACTCCCAACTCAAGCAACCAACAATTCGCCCCGCCCGTTATTGTTTCCGTAATGTGAAATTACATCTCTTCTGGGGAGGAGGAAGGCAATGGGCTCCCCCCTGCGCGTGCTAAACATTATGTGAAATAAAGCTGTCTGGCTTCATGTCCCTTTGCAAAACTTCTCCGCAGAGTGCTTTTTTTATAGTTTAATTAAGTTGAGTCCTTTCAATTAAACATAATGCTGGCAGGCATCTCGACCAGAAACAGAGGTTTGCCAGGAAGAGGAGCAAACGGATCAACTGTTATAAACATTTTCACTCTTGAATTAATTTTTTTTAAAAAAAAAAATTAAAAATATCTGTAGGGTCCAGGTCTTGCCTGCCTAAAGTCTCCGTGAGCAAGGAAGGTGGCTTTTTAAAAAAATTAAAAATATCTGTAGGGTCCAGGTCTTGCCTGCCTAAAGTCTCCGTGAGCAAGGAAGGTGGCTTTTTAAAAAAATTCCGAATCTTCCAATTACTTTCTCCATTATCTTCGAATATGCGCGATAGAAAATTCAAAGCGCGAGTTGTTTCCCCCCGTAGTTTGACAGCACGGATCAAATGATATCCCTCATGTAACGTCCCTCTTGTAAAGCAAGCGGGGGAAATTATGTCTTTGACTCATGTCATAATCTTATTGGCACGGCTTTCTTCTAAGAAGAACAAACATGCAAAATTAAGATAAAGGACAGCTGTAATCCCATCAGTAACCTCCGCTATTTATCATATCCCTCTACCAAGAACCTTCAGGGGGGCCCATGGGGCGTTAGACAGTAAAACCTCATTTGTACCTTCCAATGATGCCAAAAAAATAAGAATTG